TTAAAATCAGTCGATTGCAAACTATCGTCGAGTAAACGCGGCATGTGTTTCTTTTTTTCGAGTGAATTTCGGTCACTGAATGACTAATTGGCAATGATTAATAATTATGTATCATCGCGGCAATAAAACGGATACTTAATTGATGGAGATACAGTAGAAAAGTTCTCGTTTTCTTCAAGTAAATGAATAGTTTGTATGTAAATCGAGCGTGCGTGTGAACATGTCGAAGTGATAAGTTTTTAAAAAAAGGAATTAATTATTTGCTGATTAATTATTCGATCTCTGTGTGCATTCTGTGTCAGTGGAAACGTGTGATATCTAAATTAAATTTATAAGAGCAATGGAAGTTTAATTAACATAAACATTTGTTTGGAGCTGTACGTGATCATTCGAAATAGAAGTTTTTCTCTTTTACGTGAACTCATCGAATTTTTACAAGGTAATTTTAGTGTGTGTGTGTGTGTGTGTGTGTGTGTGTGTGTGTGTGTGTGTGTGTGTGTGTGTGTGATGTGTGTGTGTGTGTGTGTGTGAGAGAGAGAATGGGAATTTGATCGCATATGCTCATGCGTATGTAGCGATCATCTGATCGCAGCGAGGGACCTCGTACCATCTGTGTAGGGCAGTAAGTTGCGCCGCCCCTGGCTATCTTCTCTACGCACTCAGTCATTCGCTAACTATTTCTTATTATAATTCAAAAACTAATCTTCTGACATTTTGGCGAAGGAAAAATCGTCTTAGAATTAAGTCAGGAATATGACATTTTAAGAACACTATGTTCATTTTGAATCACCCTGTATACGTCAGTTAATGCTGCTCAGCTTTACGCATGCGCACACAGTTTCTTAGAGCAGACGAATTCTTCCCAGCTCCCATCACTGCCTCCAGGCCGTTCCTTTTTATATTACGCTGCTTGTTGGGTTGGTGGGGGTAGGCGGAGAGGGGGAAGAGGTTGTGGGAGGGGAAAGAGGTGGTGGTATTGGTCGTTCTTCAATAATCGGGAGAATGGTCTTCCATATTTTATTTATGTTGTAGCCATTATCTCTATTTAAATTGTTAGGGTGTTTTTGTATCTCTATGGCTTCTCTATACTTTCTTGGAAAGTATGTTGTACTGTTGGCTATTGTGGTCGTTTTGTCAAACAGTATTTGATGTCCTGTTTCGATGTTGTGTTCTGATAATGCTGATTGCGTGGTGTGTTTTAGTCTGACATCACGTTGGTGTTCTTTGATCCGTAGGTTGACTATTCTCCCGGTTTCTCCAATGTATACCTTCCCGCAAAAACAAGGTATTTTGTATACTCCTGCGGAACTGAGTGGAGGTTTTTGATCTTTAGGATTTCTTAAGATTTGTTCTATCTTTTTGGGTGGTTTGAAGATAGTTCGGATATTGTGTTTGTTTAATATCCTGCAAATCCAATCTGTCATTTCTTTGACATATGGGAGAATGGTTAGAATCCTTTCGTCTGGTTGTGTATCAGAGACCGTTGTCTTGTTTCATGTTTATCGATCGTTTTGGTTATGTCTTTTTTGTCGTGTCCGTTTTTCTGTAACACCCTAATAATTTAAATAGAGATAATGGCTACAACATAAATAAAATATGGAAAACCATTCTCCCGGTTATTGAAGACCGACCAATTCCACCTACCTCTTTCCCCTCCCACAACTCTTTCCCCCTCTCCGCCTACCCTCACCACCCCAACAAGCAGCGTAATATAAAAAGGAACGGCCTGGAAGAACAGCTCAGTATCAGGCTCCTTGCCCTGAGCGAGTAGACAGCAAGCTTCTCGAAACGTTGGCATCTCAAGAATGAATCAGGACACGGAGGAAACCCGCGAAACGGATAACCTTTTTTATATTATATTATATTAAATAAAATTAATATAAATATATTATATTAAATATTATATTATATTACTGCAATATTACTACCGTATATAGAAACGCTACCGCAATATTGCATAATATGTAGAAATATTGCCTAATATTACAGTAATGTTACAAAAATATCGCAAAAATATTACTGCAATGAATTTGCCTCGGACATTTAATATTGCAGCAATATTTATACAATATTACTGACATATTAGCATGCAATATTACAGCAATGTTGTAATATTACTGCAAGATTACTACAATATTACTTGCTGTGTAGGTACTGAAGGGGACCCAAATCTAGGATCGAAACGTATGCGTATTTCTTATATTATTGCGAATTTTTCTATTGTGTTTCAACTATTTCGATTTTATCATTGTATTGAATAATAATCATTTACACATGTACTTCTTGTGTTGGCTCATTTATAGGCATTTTCAACGTAATTGACTTATTTATTATTAAATTGTTCCTAAATTATAAAGTAAATGAATGACAATACGATTATGGCACCAATGAACTCCTTTTTCGGCAGTTTTGTAAAATTTTTTACGTATTCCCATCTCTTTTCAATATCAACAATCGCTAAATTTAAAGGATCATTTCTGTGAACAAAAGAGATGTAACATCAAAGAAACGAGCACGTCAGGCTCATCCACACTAATTCCAGAAAAGTTATTATAACGTTCAAAGTATTATTGACATGTAGTTAACAAATATTGTGTATAATTTTGTTTCTGTTCGATCACTTTTTGTTTATTAAGTTGCAAATAAATAGAGATCGATGACGATTAAATCGCTTTATCATTATCATTTCTTAGTTTAATTAACAAATACGAGCGTATAATTTCGTTTCCATTCGATCTTCTTTTGTTAAATATTTTGTTATGTTATATTGAAGGTGCAAAGTGCAGAGAATGGCTGCGTTTGACATTACTAGTGTTTAAAATAAAAGTCGCTTCTTGCGTTCAACGCGCTAGCGCACTCTCGCGCCAAAACGTTCAACAGTTATACATTATGGCTAGACGATGAACAGGAATAACATGATCATGATAACGACGACATATCTTAAAAGATTTTACATCAAGACTTTGCGTCGCAATATCTCCGCTCATAGGGCATGTAGAAAAAAAATAAAAGCACAATTCGAGTGGAAGCTATTGATTGAGCGTACATAGAACTTGATCAGTTCAGTTGTTATTGAGATTCAATAATCTCGGTCTCCTGGAACTCGCAGTTTTACGGAAAGGAACACGATAGTGTCACTGCGCTTGTCTTAGCGCTGAGACACTATCGTGTCTTCTGATCATTATTACGTTGTTATATTCTCATTCGTTTCGATAACATCGCGCCATTTATAATTCGATAATTCAAGTTCTTTTACAAACGTTATTGTGAACTTTCCTAGTACGTCACACGACAGCTATAGATATTGAATTTGAGTTGTTTAAAATTATGTTATGTAACAGAACATTTCTGAAGTAAAAGTTTCACTAAACGTAAATAGCACATAGAAGCTAATCCAGTCAGAAATGACGTCAATTCGATTTAGAATCTACATTAAAGATATCAATTTGATGACGAATCGACGTTGATTCGACATCGAATTAATGGTAGTTTCTCAATGGGACAAGATTTTAATATTATCTTTGATTTTTTATTAAATTATGTTTTAAGTTATTTTTTAAAAATTGTTTCTAAAATAATTGTAAATCAACCAAGTTATTCGCTTACCCGTATTGTTCTGTAGAGCGCAAATTCATGAATTGACTGCGATTTTTAACGATATCCAAGATTTGTGAAGAATTTTTTCACCGCTGAGAATGGTGCCAAAATAGGATCGAAACGTTCGGAAGTACTGTATTATAATTGATCACAATATATTTATGTTTAATTATTAATACCATTGAAATTTGTACGCACTAATTACCGCGTTGATTACTCTTAATTGTCTGTAAAGTTTTTCTTACTAATTTTATTGTTTTGTTTGTATAAAATAAATGTATTCATCAAGTTTTTCATCGTACATTTTCACAATTGTAAAATGGCGCGGACTCATTTTAATATAATTCTATAACAGGTTTTCCGTGAATTTAATATGTAAGGCAGATGGAAATATTGCTCTGCATTTTAATCCACGACTGGACAGAGGTTATATTGTTAGAAATACAAGAGTGCGTGGATCCTGGGAGGATGAAGAGACTTGTTCACCTGCGGGTTCAAACGGATGTACTTTCCGTCGAAACACCTATGCACATCTTATGATCTTCTGTACAAACGATGCATTTCAGGTAAGAAGTAATAATTCTTCAAAATGCTAAAAAAAGACGCTAAGAATATACGTATTTCTCGAATAAAATCTAAATTACTCAATCCAATAAATAGTAGTTTTAATTTTTTTTTAAGGATATTTTTATTGAAGATTTTTTTATTCCAACGCAACCCAAGAAATGGCAGCTTTAATTCTCTGTCAAAAATTATTACTCCTCGAAAGAAACTAGTGTACCGAATGAAATATTAAAACCCAGATGCTAGAGTCTTAACTAATCAAGTTAAATTGTATCAAATTATTAGGTGTACAACTTTGTTTCCACCGTTATCCTATGGATGGCTTTAGCGGTAAGAGGTGGTCGAAATAAATAGATCATAGACGTCATTCAATAAACTTGGGCATCTGTCAACATAACCCCATAGAAACATTATTCGATTTGTGTCTACATCATAAAGTTATTCTCGATTGAAAATGTCAGTTTACGAGCCAAATTCTCATCATTTGCGGGAGGTTTTAATTTTCTGCTTCAATATGAAGAAATCTGCGCCTGAGGCTTATAGAATGCTCTCAAATACTTATGGTGAGGCCGCTATGAGTGAAAGAACGTGTCGTGAGTGGTTTCAGTGCTTCAAGAACGGTGATTTTGACGTCGAAGACCGGCATAGCGGTGGAAGAGAGAAGATTTTCGAACATGCAGAATTGGAGGCATTCCTTGATTAAGACTCATGTCAAAATCAAGAAGAATTGGCACGATCATTGGGAGTGACTCAACAAGCCATTTCAAAACGCCTTAAAGTCATGGGAATGATTCAGAAGCAAGGAAATTGGGTGCCGTACGAGTTGAAGCTGAGAGATGTTGAACGGCGTTTGTTTGCTTGTGAACAGCTGCTTGAAAGGCAAAGACGGAAGGGATTTCTGCATCGCATTGTGACTGAGGACGAAAAATGAGTTCATTACGATAACCCCAAGCGCAGAAAATCATGGCGGGGAGTTCCCATGCTTCCACGTCGACGACCAAACCGAATATTCATGGCTCCAAGGTCATGCTTCGTATTTGGTGGGACCAGCACGGTGTAGTGTATTATGAGCTGTTAAAACCGACTGAAACAATCACAGGCGATCGGTATCGAACGCAATTGATGCGTTTGAGCCGAGTATTGAAAGACAAACGGCCACATTACAACGAGAGACACGATAAAGTGATTTTGCAGCATGACAATGGTCAACCCCATATTGCGAAAGTGGTCAAGACGTATTGGAAACGTTGAAATAGGAAGTCCTACCCCACCCGCCGTATTCTCCAGACGTTGCTTCCTCTGACTATCACTTGTTTCGATCAATGGTACACGGCCTGATTGACCAGCACTTAAGACTTCCGGTTTTATAAAGAAGTACAAAATTGGATCGATTCGTGGTTCGCCTCAAAAGATGACCAGTTTTTTTGACGCGGGATTCGTACGCTGTCCGAAAGATGGGAAAAAGTAGTTGCTAGCGATGGACAATACTTTGAATCATAAATGTATAACCAGTTTTTTACAATACAGCCTCGAATTTCGGAAAAAAAATGGCAACATCTCTCGGCTTCAACTCGTACGGCACCCAATTTCCTTGCTTCTAAATCATTCCCATGGCTATGAGGCGTTTTGAAATGGCTTGTCGAGTCACTCACAATGATCCTGCCAATTCTTCTTGATTTTGACACGAGTCTTGATCAAGTAATTCCTCCAATTCTGCATCTTCGAAAACCTTCTCTCTTCCACCGCTGTGCCGTTCTTCGACGTCAAAATCACCATTCTTGTAGCGTTGAAATCACTCCCGACACGTTCTTTCACTAATAGCTGCCTCACCATAAGTATTTGAGAGCATTCGATGAGCCTCAGCCGCA